TCTTCTCTGCATGCACCTGAATCCACAAGAGTGAAAGAAGAAACTAGTTAGTAAATCTTAGACTAAACTTCAATCCTAGATTCACAGGTAACGCTATTGGTCCCCGGCAACGGCGCCAAAAACTTGATACACACAGGTTTTACCCAAATAAAAGACTGCAAGTGCACAGACAATCACAGTAATATAGATGGGATCGAATCCACAGAGACCAAGGTTACGCTATGATTCTTAATGAATGAAGTGGAGCTAAGACAATGTAATGACTGTTGAATGTAATGCAAAACGAAAATGGCAATTAAAATTCAATAAAAGATCAATTAAAACAAACGTTAGGTAAAGGGCAATTCGCAGGGATCAAAGATCATGAACCAGACAATTATTCAGGGAACAAATAAGCACAATCTTGAACTCAAACATGAATGTATAGCTAATCCACTGTCGTGGTATCAGAGACTCTATCTAACAACCTAAGATTCTAAACATCAGCTTTCGTTGGTTAAGGGCATTCTGCTCATCTATGTTCTTTCAGGCTTTTAAACAAACACTTTTGGTGTGCTAAACAAACTAGAATCAGAAACTAGGTAGCTAATCAGGTTTCAGCAATGAGATCAATGATAGATGAAGACAACAATTGAAATAACCATATCTATGTCTGATTCAATAATTCATAACCCCATTGAAACCCTAAACCTAACTGGTGGATTACTCAGACATGGAAGAAGAAGAAAGACAAAGAGATGAAGAGAAATTCATAAATAATAAAATAGAAATCAACTGGGGTTCAGAAAACTTCTCAGAGATGTTGAGTACAAAGATCGTCTCCCCAAAACTCACAAATTGCCAAAAGCTCTAAGTCTCCATGAAAAAATAAAAGGTAGCCTAAACAATGGCTAAAAATCCAGTCTTTATTGGTCTAAACACGAGCTGGATGAAAAATTATGGAAAACCAAGTCGAAATAGGTAAAACCGAAATTTCCTTATTTTTCTGCGCGACCAAACCGGCTGGTTAAGGCATCAGATCGATCGGTCCAAAGTTGGATCGATCGATCTAAATACTCTCGGAAAATCCTGGTCTCATCGGATCGATCGGTCCCTCCTGGATCGATCGGTCTAAAATGTCTCGGGGAAACTTCGACCAAACGGATCGATCGATCCAATGTGGGATCGATCGATCTAAAATCCTTCGGGCAAATCTTGTCTTTCGGATCGATCGATCCAGTGTGGGATCGATCGATCTAATATCTCTCGGGCAATTCTTGTCTCCTCGCTTCCTTTGGATCGATCGATCCAATATAGGACCGATCGATCTGCACTCCGGAAAAGACTGAATTTGCTCCATTTCTTCATTTCTTCCTTTGCACTGCCTTGGAATCCATCCAAACGTGTTTTGACCTGTAAAGAATCTAAAAACACTGAAAAGACTCGATAAAAACCTTTGAAAGTCAGTTAGAAATCAGTAAAATCATAGTATATCACCCGAGCAAGGTAAGTTTCCTAGTACTAATCAAAGGACTATAGACATAACGTGCTTTAAGTGTCAAGGTAGGGGACACATATCTAGAGAATTCCCCAACAACGGCGTGATGATTCCACTTCTAGTGGTGAATATGAATCACAAGATGAGCTAGAAGAGGACTCAGATGGCAAGGAGGATGACATTCAATATCATGACCGAAGAGAGCTCTTAGTTACAAGGTGAGTACTGAGTGTACTAATCAACCCCGGTGAAAGGGAGCAACGAGAAAACATATTTCATACAAGATGTACTATTCAAGGAAAGGTATGTAACCTAATCAAAGACGGTGGATCATGTACTAATGTAGCTAGAAAATATTTAGTTTAAGTGAACTTTCCTATTTTGATGTTTTTGCGCCTTAATCGCTTTGTAGTTTCTTTTCTCTTTGTGTTGTCTTTTTATGCTTTTTATTTTCGGCCCTAGGGCTAGTTGACGAGCTATTATAAAGCTCTCCTGCAGCGTTGTATCAGTTTTTACCCTTCATTATCAAGAAAGACCAAACTTTCTTCAAAGCTAAAGCCGCCGCTTTTGTCTTTGTTCTTACTTGTGTTCTTGAGCGTGTGATTCACTCAAGGCTCGAGTTCTTGCTATATCAAAGAGTTATTCATCCTCTCTTTGGTGCTATCGATCCACTTCTTTTCCATTCAACCGATCCCTCAAGAGAGAGCGTTATAGCCAGCTTGACATATCCCAACTCGGCTCAAGGAGTGTACCACGCGCCTTGTTCTACCATTACCATCTATCAGTCAACACAAGAGAGCGTCAAAGCCAGTGTGTAGACTCCATCAAAACACTCACTCTGATCCATGTAACACTCTCATCTAAGTATTACATCAGGCTTCCTTGGCTAGTTTATTACAAGAAATCACTACAAAAATCAAAATGCAAAATCAAGGGAAAAATCAAAGCAATAATACAAAAGTTCATAAATAAGAAGGTTGTTAATTTAAAGGGATTAGCTGTTGAAATAAAATTACAAGAAACACAAAAGATTAGTCAAATATAATGTAATTGATTCAATGACTTACTTTGAATTGTTGTGGGAAGATTGGTAGATTTGGAAGCTTAGTTTGATTTCTTGTTGACTTTGATTTAGCTCGGTATTATGGAAAACAAGGCGGTTCCTTGGGTGGATGATATAACCGGTCATGATTCTTCATATGACTTAAATTTCATGTATGGACCGTCATGCTAGTGTGCACCATAAACTTGAGTGACGTGGTCTTCAAGTATATCTTGTGAAGCATCATTTTTGGGGTGATGGCGAGTTTTTCAAGTTGGTATGTGATATCTTCAAGTGCTTGTTGACTTATTAAACTGTTCATGGCTTGATTAAACACTTTTTAAAGTCTCTTCGTACCAGCTCTTATCTTTGGTGGTAACCTCGTTGCGGAAATTATATCTTCAGAGTTGATGTCCACATCAGTAAATCAGTTTTGGAATCATTATAACCAAATGGCCAAATCTATGAGATTCACGAGAGTACGGGTTTAAAAAGATAAACTGTATGACAGATATCCATACCGTTTTGAATCTAAATGTACCAAAAGTTACATGGGATCTTCTATATAAAGGTGATAATGTCATAATAGGATCTCACTACTGAAAAGCAACAAACGCACATACCAAGACTTAGGTTTTACTTTATTTTTTCTTTAAAATCCTAAAAGATTATTATAGAGGCACTTCGATTTAGACTGTGTATGTTCATGGTTTCACATGGATTCATGTCTCTTTTTTAGCACTCTTTTCATGCCCTCTCTGGTGAAGAGAAATGGTCACTAAAAATAGCTTAGAATTAAACTACATTGGAGAATCCAACTACAAGACCTTTTTGATATAGCAAAATCAAAACATTTCATATTGATCATGTTAACCATCACACAAAGGCACTGTAAGATGAAAGATAAAAAAGAAAAACAACATATAGAAGCATAGATTTTGATTTTGGTGACAGAGGAATAAAAATCCTAAGTAAAGTGATACTTTGGAGATCTTTTACCTAAAACTGTAAACTGTTTGGAAAGAATACAATCCGTCTTAAGTAATAAAATAAGAAAATAGCATAATCCAAGTGAACACATCATACTGCAGAGAGATAAGAATTCAAAGAAAAATCAATAATACAATCCAAATGAACAACACATCACACTTCAAGAATAAAGAGAAAGCATAAGAAGAAGCATGGATTATGTGACAGATCCCAATCAAGAGTAGGGGATGTTTATACCTAAAGGCCACTAAAGAAAAAAAGAAGAAAAGAAAAGACAAAATTAGCGACACTTGTGGAAAGCATTGAAACTAAGAGGCACAACATATTCTGCAAAATTCTTCTCACCTAAACACAAAACCTATCTTTAGGGAATATTTTTAAAAGTTGAACTAATTTCAATATGTTTCCATTTAATATTTTTCTTCTCCCATATATTTCCTGCCGAACAAATCAAATATATGAATAGAGGTGAGCTCTTTCCAACAGCTTGAAACATCATCATTTTAAATAAATTTTCAAGTGGCAAATGTCAATTTAATATTAAAACCACAAAAAAATAATTATTTTTTTATTAATGCATTTAGAAAATATAAAAAATCTATTTATTTATATATTAATGTTGCAAAACTAAATTAATTTATCTACAAATAATCAGATCTATATTGAAATATTACATTTAGAATAAAGAATATTTAAGATATAATAAAATCAGATAAAATTAAGTCATGTCAAAATAAAAGATAAAAAGATAAAATTTGACAAAGGTGTTGGTGAAGGCATATAAATCAGTTTTGTCATGACAAGTGTCAACTTAATATTAAAATCATGAAAATAATTATAATTATTTCTATTAATGCATTTGTAAAATATGAAAAGTCTATTTATTAATATATTAAAGTTTAAAAACTGAATTAATTTTCTACAAATAATCAGATCCATATGAAAAAAATTATATTTGAAATAAAGAATATTTCAGATATAACTACTTTATGTCAAAGTAGAAGATAAAAATATAAAATTTGACAAAAGTATTGGTGAAGGCATATAAATCAATTTTGTCGGATCTGTGAAACTCTAGTGAAAAATATATAAAGTTAAATTGAATAACTATGTTTCATGGATACCGATAATATGATAGGTTCTCCTAAAAATAACATATGAATTGATAAACTAAATTCTAATATATACAGAAGTTTAATATATTTCGTAAATATATGTTATTAAAAAAAATTGTAAATATGAAATTCAAATAAAAATACTGTATTGTTTAAATAAAATATATTTTAGAAAAAATCTGCATGTATGCAGGTGCAAATCTAGTGTGAAAGTAATAAATAGAAGAAAAACAAATTTGTAATTTTATCTGAAGAGTTCAATACATGATGCAAATGGACCATATGAGTATGATAAGGGTGCATACCTCATGCTAACCTAGAGTAACCACAGAAGACACTCAGTGCCAAAAAGATATGTAACAAGTGAAATGATTACCTAAGAAAATAAAGGCAAGAAACGATTTTGGGTATCTTCGTCCTCCCATTCAAGCTCCGTTTTCTGTTCTCGAGGATCCATCTCTACTGTAAACCAGCCAAGTCGTGGGACACTCGTAGCATCTAAGGGAAGCTTTCTCAGCTTTGGACAGTTTATTGTTTCTATTCGCCTCAAAAATGGAAAGGGGAGAGGACTCCAGTAGATACTCACCAGGTTAGGCAATCTTACCAACGATAAGTATTCTAAATTCTGAAATGGAGTAATACCTATAAGATTGGCTGCTTTCTCGTTGTTAATAATTTCTTCCACTTCTTTTGAATCAAAAACTTGTAGGTAGACAAGATTTGGAGCAAACAGTAGCCAAGTCAAATCCTTGATGCCGCATAAGTTATATACATGCAGGACACTAAGGTTGGTATAGCATCGACTCGTCGGATTGTGTAAACCAGACGAGCCTGTCTCACTTTCTCTGTATTTTGTATATATATTAGTCTCCATGACAAGAAAACTTTCCAACCAGAGCTTACGTCGATGATTCTCCATACTGACCGGCTTTTGCTGGAAACCCCGAATCTCCAGACCATTGATGGAGTTCGCCAACCTTGGATCACCTAATAGCTGCCCCAGACCCGACTCCGTAGATATGGTTATAGTTACAACTTGTAGATGCTCCAAGAGCTGCAACTCCTTCACTAAGCTAACATCTCCATGAACATTGGAGCTTTGTAGTTTCAATATTCTTAAACTCGTCAACTTTGATATCCCAGCCATACTACAAAGTCTCACTGTCCAAGCCAAATTAAGTTGAGATAGCTTTTTCAACTCGTGGAAACCAACTGGCAGTTGCTCAATACTTGTATACGACAAGTCAAGATACTGCAAAGATGCCAGCTCCGATATCCACTCTGGAAGTTCATGGATGCTCCAATTATCTGATAGATCCAAAACAGCTAGCTTTTTCATAGACCGCATGAATTCCCCTGAGAGATTCTCCAAATTATTATTCTGGAGGAAGAGAGTTGTAAGTTCAAAACACGTGGAACCTGAGGTTAGCTCCTTAATGTTATTACCCATTAATGACATCCGTCTCACAGCTCCCCAATCCTTGACTTTGGGTATTTCACGTAACCCAAGCCTTGCATTCACAACAAAAGCGTCTTTCTGATTCCCAAAATAGGATGCAATCCACAGAGCCATTTCACGAACTACATCGTGCATTTTCACAGCCGTTTTTCCAACACCGCCAAGATAACGTCCAGCGTCTTTGAACTCATCTGTTAGTAAATTTGCACGGATAAGGGTACCGAGTACCTCATAACCCTTGTTCATCGCGCTCTTCATAACTTGGTATTCCCCCAAGAATCCCTCGCATATCCAGTATTCTATCAACCTTTCTTTTTCTATTTGATCATCTTCCGGAAACATAGCACAGTAGAGGAAACATGACTTGATATGTTCATTCACCAAGCTATCGTAGCTGTACTTCAAAATTGGAAGGATTTTATTTTCCATGTTAGGAAACTCTGCAGCTGATCTAGTCAAAACATTGATTGCATGCTCCCATTCTTGTACCGTAGTTTTAGATGTCATTGTCTCACCAATGACATTGAGCGCTAGCGGCAAACCACGACATTTTGCAGCAACTTTTCTTGCAAGCTCGACAATGAAAGGATTTCTTCTTAATGTGCTGTCTCCAATCTTATTACTAAATAATTCCCATGCTTCATCTCGTTCCAAACACTTGACATGCATCGGCTCATGATCCCCCATCTGCCTACATACTTGGCGAGAGCGAGTGGTGAATGCTACTTTACATCCATTTTCTCTGGTTGGAAAGGGAACTCCTATGGCTTCCAAATCTACTTTCTCCCATATATCATCCAGCATCAACACAAATCTCTTCCCCTTTAAAACTCTATGCATCTCTGCAGCCTTATCACTTTCATTTTTGTTCGTCCATTGGTCACCACAAAGGTGTAGCTTTTGTGCAATCTCTTCTTGAAGTTTCAGAATATGTACGCCTTGAGACACCACGACCCAGATCACAACGTCAAACCTATTAGCCATTTCAGCGAACTTGTTGTGGATTTTCTTGAAAATGGTAGTTTTGCCTACACCACCCATACCGTGCAGACCCATGGTACCGACTCCATCTTCCATAATTCGATTCCATGCCTCCTCCAGTATTAATTTGTGACCGATGGTAGGCCGTGTAGGCCTCTCCACCACTTCAGATCTTGGAGTCAACTCAGTAACCTCTTCAAAATGACCCTCTGATTTGAGGTTTTTAATCTCTTCCGACAACAAGAATACACGTTTCCCATATTTGTAGCTCAAGCATAAATTTTTTGAACATAAACCACATAGACACAACTTCTGAAGCTGAACGGCACTAGTACTAATCAGATCACTGACCCGTGTATCAATGATCTCGACACGTGTAAGCCATACCTGGACAGCTTTAAGCCTTCGTTGATGTTGTGCCTCCTCTCTCGCTACCTTGTTCTTCACCTCATCTTGAATTGCTATGAGATCTTCCATTTCTCTCTGAAGAGACCTGAGATTATCTTTTAGGGTTCGAATATAACCTTTACTACACAACCACCTAAAGATATGATTCAGCGTTTCATCACAAGACGGTTGAAAAGACACAAAATTCCCCATGGTAATAGAAAGAGAGAATGTTCAGTAAAGCTGAAGGTGAAGAAGTGTTTTAGAGAACAACTTGCTCCAATAAAGTCTTTGAACAATTATTTCAAAGGAAAACAAAAAAAAGATAGTGGCGTAGGTGAAAAAGACACAAAGCCTTTAATCAACTATTCTAACTAATATCAGACCACATGAAGGACTTTGCTTAGTCTTGTTTTTAAATCAACTAAAGTCCATACGACCATTACTTAAAAGAAACAATAGAAATGGCGTGCAGAAGAAAAACAATACAAAAAGCAACCATGGACTTGGATCCAGAGGTCAAGATTCAGGAAAATAGACCGTATCGGTACCTGGAACAGTGTAGACAGTGGAGAAGACAGCAATAACTGAGGCTGATTTGTATGAAAATGATCTAATTGTATCAAAGTTACATGGAATATTCTTGATGGAGGACAAAAAAGGATTTCACTACTGATAAGCTACAAACGCATATACGAAGACATGTGTTTTTTTTTTTTGCTTTAATGAGAAGTAGAAGAATATACCTTTATTATTGCATCTCTTTCTGAATACTCGATTGAGCCACTTCGTTTTGGACATTGTCTGTTTATGATTTCACATGGATTCATGTTTTTTAGCACTCTGCTGGGAAAAGAAAAAAAAAAACTGGGTTTTATTTCTTCAATTGCTCAGTCATGGAGTTTGGTGAATTTTAGGGGGTTTTGAGTTCTCTAATTTGGGAAATTTCGTTGCTTATTAAATTATGATGATGGAAAAAATGGGTTTAGCTGAAATTGAGTTCTGGTTTAATTTAGACTGGTTATTTCATTAATTCTTCTCCAAGCCGGTTTAAGAGCACTTAATTTGATTTGATAGCTATTGGATTGAGGCTGGTGCACATAATTTAAATCGAAAAATACCGATTCGATTACAATGATTTCATTAGGTTAGTGAGATTAGTTTCTTATAGACTAATAGTTTCATTAGGTTAGTGAGATTAGTTTCTTATAGACTAATAGGGGGTGTATTCAAAATAGAAACTAGAGTGATTTGTAAATCACAAACCTTTTGTTATTGAAAAATAAATTTTTTCTTATTATTGAACTAATGATTTGAAAATATAATTTCAAATTTACTATTACTGAAAATAATTTAAATAGTAAATTTAAAAAACTTGAAATGACTTTAAGATGTTTAGATAGAATTTTCTAGTTAAAAATATATGAATCTAAATTATATGATTTTAGGTTGAGTTTAATAGAATTTTGATATCAAATCACAAGATATAAATCAACCAAATCATCTTAAAACTCATTAAAACTCATTAAAACTCATTAAAACTTAAATCTTTCTAAATCATTTCAAATGCTAAGTTGAATACATTCCCATAGTTTCTTGCTGTAAACGACTATGGAATGTAAAATTCAAAACCATTAGATTAAGGGGTTGACTGTTTGCAGTTTTTGAAATGGTTTTTGGTTTTTGTTTTTCAAAAACTACTTTTTAAGCCATTCAAGTTTTTGTATAAATAGATTTCTTAAATTATAGGGAAACTAGTTTTTACAGATTTTGTGATTTTGTGAACAAAAACTAAAAACTGCAATTTCAGAGTTTTATCTACCGTCAAGTGAGTTTTTTATTTTGTTTTTTTATCATTAATTAAGAAATTAAATGCAAATATATCTGATGCATAAACCAAAATCTCTATTCTTTAGGATTTTCCTAATACTAGGTACCATAGATATTGTTTATATTTATTTATTCTGTGTGAAAGTTTACTAATTTTAGGTATTAACTTTTCTATATAAGACACAAAACTCATACAAACTAAACACACACAAAATTTCAGAAATAACATATCTACTATTGAGCTATTAAGCTATTGGAGTTTTTGGGTAAGTTTATTTAATTACTTGTTTTATATTTGAAGAGATCTTTTGATATAAACTTTCTTTTTTGGTTAAAAATATGTACTTCATTCTCTTTTTACATTTGTTAGTATTGTGTGTTTAATTAACAAATTTACGTTATTGGCTAAATTGAAATGTATACAACAAACTTTTTTAATTATAAATATTATACATATGTTATACTGTACTTAATTGTTGCATTATAAAAATGTAAGTATTAATTACTATTTCTGATATTTTGTGCGTAATATAGAGAACATAGTTTTAAAACTATATATATTTTTTAATTTAGTTTCTTTAAAAAATCCGTCTACTAATTATGTGTATTTGCTATAGCCATGGCGAATCAAGGACAATCATCAAACAGCAAAGAGGTATATATTTGTTAATATATTATTTTTGTTTTTTTTGTATATTTCTTATCATAGTATTCAATTTTAGTTGACTAATTATATGTATGTAATATTGTTATTTAAGGGAAAGATACAATGGACCAATAGTATGGTTCATATTTTTCTTGAAGTATATGAAACTGAGATGGAACATATTAGTTGGCGTACTGGTCCTCTCAAGAAAGAGAGTAAAACGAGAATTATAAATACATTTCGAGAAGCAACAGGTCAAAACTCTGAATGGAATTCACTAAAAAATAAATATTACGCTATTAAAAAAAGTTATGATATTTATCGTCGACTGCGACGTATGACGGGAGTCAAAGTTAATGAAACTACACAAGCTATTGAAATGTATGATGAATGGTGGCGTGATCGTATTCAGGTAACTCTTGAACATTACATCTCATCACTTTTTTATTAAAAATAAATAAATTAATATTTTCAACTTTTTAATGTAGGAAATACCTGATGCTGTAAAACTCCGGACACACCCCCTTACCAACCTCGATATATTGGATCGACTTTTTGGCAACAAACACATTTCTACTGATGATGGATATTATCCAGGTTCTGGAGTGGATCAACATACCGAGTCAGAAACAGTTACAGAGAATGAATCTGAAACAGTCAATCTAAGAGATGATTCTGACGCGCCTTCACCAAACCTAAATGAAACACCGTCTTCCCACAATCAAATTTCAAATGGGTGTACGGAAACACTGCACGTACTTCATCTTCAGCACGTAAACGAGGAACGGCGAAAGCTTCGTATGACTTCGTGACGAATGAAGCCTACATGAAACGAACAGAAATTTATGAGCGAGCACAAGATAACAAGTTAGAACAAGCAATTGGGTCATTACTAACACTCCCTGGTCTTCAATATGACTCCTCTTTGTATTGGGGAGCAGTGACTGTGCTTCAAAGCAACGAGACGCATGCACGTGTTTATCTCACACTACCCGACAATAATGCTAGGATTAGATATCTCGAGAGGATGACAGGAATCGACCGAGCAGCTGAATAAACAAACTTAATTTTTTAATTCACCTACAAACATTTTATTTTTATTTCGCAGTTTAATTAGTGTTTAACGTAAAATAATGAGTGTTTCTTATTTTATATTTATGCATTAATAATTTTTTTTTGATTTTTAATAATTTATTTTGTTATATTTGTTTTTTAGAGAGAAGCATTTTACAGAATGCTTGAAGATGATGAAGCAGAAGATGGAAGCATTATCTTTGGAGAATCATTTATGGGCGTAGAGAGGCAACAAATGAACTTAGATCCAGAATGCGGTCGGAGATACGTATATGACCTTATCCATGGTCACGACCAATCATGCTATCACACAATTCGGATGTATCCACCAGTATACATTCAATTATGTGAAAAGCTAAAGGAGGATTATCATTTGAAGGAGACTGATAATGTAAGCATCCACGAAAGCGTTGCAATTTTCCTAAACATATGTGCTCACAATTTAAATCAGCGATATGTTGGGAAAATATTTGGTCATTCAAAAGAAACCATAGAAAGAAAATTTCATGAAGTGTTAGATGCTCTCGAGAGAATGGCGGTTGATGTGCTTAGATCTGGTCCAGATGAGCTCACGCAACCTCATCCAAGGCTAGTATCAGACAACAGGAATGGGCATTACTTTAAAGGGTTTATTGGTGCAATTGATGGAACACATGTTCCTGTCACTATTGCTGGAAAAAATGCAGAAAAATATTGGAACAGAAAAGGTGACACCAGCCTGAATATCCTAGCTATATGCAATATGGACATGTTATTTACATATGCATATATTGGTATTCCGGGATCAGCTCACGATGCAAAAGTTCTAGCGTTAGCGATGGAGGGGCCTCATCAATTTCCAATTTTACCTTTTGGAAAGTATTATTTGGGAGATTCCGGTTATCCTCTTCGACCTGGATTTCTTACTCCATACCGAGGTGAAAGATATCATCCTAGTTGATATATCATGGTTTTTATGGTTTTTAACCATGATATAAGTCCTTTTTATTGAGTCTTTTTGGTCTTTTTAGAGTCCTAGAAGAGTCTTTGCAGGTTATAGCATGTCTGGAGCATAATTGGAGATTTTGGAACCTTTTGGAGCATTCTGAGTGGAAGCCACGAAGTACCAAGCTCGAAGCAGAAAGTATTCATAAATGGTGACGATCGTCACCCCTTTGGTGACGCTCGTCACCCATTAAGGAAGGAGCGTGGCGGTTTATTAAAAGTATCAAGAAGATTTGCAGAATTGGCCCAGAAGTTTCCTTTATTTATATAAAGACCCCAGATCGTGTTTAGCTTCTATTTATTAGGTTTTTCAGCCATTGTTGGTGATTATCTTAGTTTTTGAGAATTCAGAGAGCCAGAGAGAGATTTATTCAGTGCTTTTTGGGGAGACAAATCCTGTACTCTTTTGAGAAGATTTCGAACCCCCTTTATTTCTTACTCTTTCTCTTAATGCAATTTTATTCAGTTATGTTTTGTGATCTCATAATCATGTCTGAGTAATCTGCTAGTTAAGTTAGGGTTTTTCAAAGGTTGGTGAAAAGAGTGTAGAATCGCTATATGTTAGGAATATCTCATGGTTTTTCATCTCTGCTTGCTTTAAAATCGAATTTCTGAAACACATCATCTAGGAATCCAAAAATCATAGGTTGCTAAATATATGTGAGAGCATTATTCATAACCTGAACTAGTATTTGATGAGCAAAGCAACTAGGTACAAAGAGATTTGGCTTAGGAGTTTTGTAAACAATTGAATCTGATCATTCCTGCATGCTTAGTTTGTTAGGGTTTACAAAGAGATTTGAAACTCTGTGATCTAGGTATAGATAACTTTTGCAATGAGAATTTATTAGTTATGCATTAGTGATTCATGTTTAAAACGGTTATTAATCATTCCTGATTTCCTGCGTCATACATTCTTGGATTCAACCTGCGAATTATCCTGACTTAGCGCTTTTAGTCTTCTTGAACTTAGATCATCTCACACAATCGTTTGCTTACTTTTATTCATTCATTCGCATTACATACATTATATTTTGCTTAGCTTAATCTGAATCTACATTCGATAGTGTAGTCTGCATTACTCTCTTGGGATTTCGATACCCCTTGTACTACAACTGCTTTTGCTATGCACTTGCAGTAGTTTTATTTGGGTAAAACCTGAGCCCTATCAAGTTTTTGGCGCCGTTGCCGGGGAGTAATAGCTGCCTATCGATTTTTAGTATTAGGATTTTGTCTAAGTTTTTATTTGTTTACTGATTTTCAGCTACTTTTCTTTGTTCCTGATTCAGGTGTATGCCTAATCGCAGAACCAGAAGCAACAAAGAGAAGGAGCTTGTGACTTTGAGCATCGACGAGCTTGCTAGGTTGGAGAGAACTAACAGGAAAGCTAAGAAGCAATCTACAATGGTCGCTCCACTGATCTTGCTTGAAGATGCAGAAGGTCACTTGGTTGACAGGGAAGGAAATAGGAGGAACGAAGAGGGGCAGAGAATTGATCAAGAGGGGAATGTCATTGTTGAACAGCAGGTTCAGCAAGTGGCTGAGAACGTGGGAGTCCATGCTGCTGTCAATAACGCTGCTGGGCGTTTTGTTCAGAGGACTCTAGGTGACTACAACAGACCTGATCAGTTATATGCCAACAGAGCTGCAATCCGACCTCCTGCCTTCCAGAGGAACGATTTTGAGGTTAAACCTGTCTACTATCAGCTGGTTGGTCAGCATCCCTTCCATGGTTTACCTCATGAGCATCCTATAGATCACATAGAGAGGTTTGAGGACTTGGCTTCCAGTGTCAAAGCTAATGGGGTTAGCAATGATTTTCTGTTCTGCAAGCTTTTTCCTTACTCTCTTGAAGGAGAAGCTGCATATTGGCTGAAGCAACTGGAGCCTGCTTCATTAACTACTTGGGAGGACACCAAGAATGCCTTTCTGAATAATTTCTATGATGATGCCAGATCAGAAGACATGAGGACGAAAATTGCATCATTCACACAAGGCCCTACTGAAGCTTTCAAGGCCTCTTGGATCAGGTTCAAGTCTTATCAAAGGGACTGTCCTCATCATGGTTTCAGTCAGGTGCAATTACTTGGGATCTTTTTCAGAGGCATTGACTGGAAATATCAGATGGCGCTGGATGCAGCAAGTGCAGGGAACTTCAACACCAACAGACCAGAGGAGGCGATAAGACTGATTGAGAACTTGGTCTGCAGCAACAGCACTAAAAATGCAGACTTTCAGAGAATGAAACAAGCTGGTGTAGCTGATGGAAATCAGATTGCTGAAGTTAAGGCTAAGTTGGATGATATGCACAGCCTTTTGGTAGGGAAGAAGTCAGTTCACTTTGCTGCAGAAGTGGAAACTTTCGAAGCTCCAGAGGAAGTTGAGCAGGAGGATATAAATTTCATCAATTCTGGCGGATTTCAGGGACAAATGTATGGGAATCAGCAGTGGAACAGAGGATACAGCAACAACAATCAGAAAATCGCCCCTACAGGAGGACAGAGCACGCCTGGTTTCACTCCTAGACCCCCATTCCAGAAGACAGAGTATCAGAAGCCATTCCAGAACAGTGGAAATTACAGAAACTATGGTTCTACTTCCTATCAACCAGCACCTCCACAAGAGAACAAAATGGAAGCAATGTTAGAACAGATCCTGGAAAGACAACATAAGCTTACTGTGGACTTCAATGGCAAGATAGATTCACTCTATCAGGACTTGAATGGAAAAATTGAGAGTCTGAACTCTCATATGAAGAAGCTTGATGTTCAAGTTGCCCAAACTGCAGGAGCTGTTCAGAGGCAAGAAGGATTTCTTCCAGGAAGAACTGATGCTAATCCCAAACACCACGTGAATGCCATCACATTGAGGAGTGGAAAGAACCTGCAACCAGTGTTGCAGAAAGATTTAACCTCAAGGAATTTCATGGTATGGAAGAGTATGAAGATGAAGAAAATTTTGCTGAAGAACCGTTGGTGACGCTCGTCACCAATAAAGGGTGTCGCTCGTCACCCATCGAGGACAACCCCGACCCCGATTCTTCACAAATTGGTGATGACCGTCACCAAGGGGGTGACGCTCGTCACCCATATCCAGTACTCGACCCCGACTCGTCCAAAGTGAGTGACGCTCGCCACCAATCCAGTGACGCTCGTCACCAGACACCACATGCTGCAGTTTCGCCTAAGACTTCAAATAATGCTAAGGAAACCGTGTATAAACCCAAGATACCCTATCCTAAGCATCCTAAGAAGTCTAAGCAAGAGCTTGAAGATGCAAGATGTAAGGCTACCATGGATAAGTTGGTAATAGAGATCCCCTTGATTGATGCTGTAAGGATCACTCCTGTTATTAGGAGGTATGTGAAGAGAATGGTGACCAATAACTTGAGCCTTGAGGTTGGAGCTATGATGATCAACGAGCAAGTCAGTGCAGTGATACAGAACAGAGTTCCAGAGAAGCTTTCAAACCCAGGAAGCTTTGTTTTAGACTGCACCATCTTCAATGACAAGTTTGAGAGGTCATTGTGTGATCTTGGTTCTAGTGTAAACCTCATGCCTCATTCTGTTGCCAAGAGTTTGGGGATGATCGATTTTAAAGCTACAAGGATATCTCTTGTCCTAGCTGATAGATCAGTTAGAGTTCCTGAAGGGGTGATAGAGGATGTTCCTATCAAAATAGAAGATTGTATGATCCCTACTGATTTTGTGGTTCTAGAGTATGGAGAAGAGCCCAAAGACCCCTTGATTCTTGGCAGACCCTTCTTAGCCACTGCAGGAGCTATTATTGACGTCAGGAAGGGTAGAATAGAGCTGAATGTTGTCGATTTAGTGATGAAATTCGAAATGGACAAGCTGATGAAGAGGCCAACCATAGATGGACAGACTTTTTATGTTGATGTTCTCACAAACATTGCTGATCAGATATTCCATGATATGAGTTCAGAGGACCCCTTGGAAAGGGCGTTGACCACTTCTACAGCTGAGTATGAGCATTTAGATGCTGCTGCAACAGGCTACACAAAGATGATGGATGCTACTGCACAAGTGATGCAACTGGTTGCACAAGATGAGCTTGTCTCCACTTCTGCAAAAGCCGCCACAATGGGTGATTGGTCTGCAGCAAAAGCACCAAAAGTTGAGCTTAAACAGCTCCCTGCAGGGCTAAGGTACGCATTTCTGGGAGAAAACTCCATATATCCTGTTATTGTTAATGCTTCATTGAACAATGCAGAGCTCACCCTTTTGCTAAGTAAGCTGCGAAAATTTCGCAAAGCTCTTGGCTATTCTCTTGATGACATTTCAGGTATCTCCCCAGACTTATGCATGCATAGAATACACTTGGAGGATGAGTCGAAATCATCAGTTGAGCACCAGAGGAGGCTAAATCCGAATTTGCAGGATGTGGTCAAGAAAGAGATCATGAAGTTGTTGCAGGCTGATATCATCTATCCTATATCAGACAGTGCTTGGGTGAGTCCAGTGCACGTGGTGCCTAAGAAAGGAGGTGTCACAGTGGTAAAAAATGAC